TTCAGCATGGTCATCCGTCCTGGGGGGTGATTTCTCACTGTCTCTGTTTCTGTCTTTCTCTGGCCAGCACATGCACCCTAACACAAAAACCTCTCAAAACAAAACAAAACAAAAAAACCCTCCATTTCAATACTATACAACTCAAATTTCAGTTTATTTGAAAGCCTCTGTGTTCTGTGGTTCTACATGTTTTCTTGATTTTGAGGGACATAAAGGAATGTGATATTCAGGTGATGAGGTAAAAATATTGAAATCACCCTACACAATCACACAAGTGTACAATATCAGACTTCCAACTACTTAGGAGGCAAGGTAACGAATGATTATGTAAGTGCAGTAAGTAAAAAAGAAAAACAAATACACACACATACACAAAACCTGCAAAATCTCTCCCTTTCTATATCAAAGCTTTTTCACTCACACTCTTCCCCCGATTATTCGAATGGATCAAAATGAAACCACTTTCTTCTTCGTGTTTTTTTTAACTTGATTTCTGTGACATCCATTCTCTCTCTCTCTTCTTATTTTTTGGAGAGGTTTTTGCTATAGGACACATGCGCTCCGCAGAAAGACAGAGACAGAAAGCGTGAAATCACCCTCCAGGGGGGATGGTCACACTGCAATCCCTTCTCCTCCCTTCTCCTCCCAGGATCTTGGGCACGCATGTACACACACCCAGTGTGAGTTTAAGTCACCGGGTCCAGGATTTGAAACGTGGTCAACTACATGGGAGTCCAGCGACATAGCCATTACACCATCTGCTGGTCCCAATATCCATTCTCTCGATTCTCTCCTATTTCTCTTGCTGCTCCTTCTCAGTCTTTTTGCTAATATTTTCTCTTCTTCCAGACACTCTAATGTTGGAGTGTCCCAGATCTTAGTTCATGATCCTTTTCTGTATCTAACCCTCACCTTTTCCCCAAATCCTTTTAAATAAAATGTTTTCCCTTTATTCATAAGAGAGTACGTGCATGGGACCAGCAGTTAGCGTAATGGCTATGTCGCTGGACTCCCACGTAGTCGACTGCCATTCCTGTCCTGGACCCGGTGGCTTAAACTCATGCTGGG